AAACTAGTATTTGTTTGATAAAAACGTTGCAATGTGTAGTCGTAGTCTGCATATAGTTTTCTAAAACTGAAAAAAGTAAAATTATGAAGTTAGGATAAAATAATATTTGAAATTAGACATTATAAATGTTGGTTTGGCGAATTATTAAATTGATAAATAATGTATGTTTTTTAGTTCTCTTAACTACAAGATCTGTAGGAATGTAGGTTATTCAATTCATAGAATTAAATAAAACATTGATGTTCTTTGGCCCATGATCACTTTTTGAACATCAAAATGGTATAAAATAGCCTGATTCAGCCTAAATTACTGTATTATTTTAGTGTGTTTAAAAATAAGCCAATCTGTACATTTATAACAGTAATTGTTGGATTGACTTTAAGGTTTTCAAAACGTGTTCCTTATTTATGTATTTAGTTTATGTGATATTTAAGAACACTATACTTATGGGAAGAATAAAACAATCAGCAAAGGAATGTAGTACGCGATGATGATGCTAGAATTCCAAAGAAAATGTATATTCTCCATAAAGGTCTATTTAGTTACTTACCGTGTGTAACTACATATAACCGTATGTAACTGTCGGTACTTATTGTTCAGTATACTTAACTTTTACAGCGTTTGTATTAAATTAAATCTGGAAATTTTATTTTCAGCACGACTAAGACGTGAGTAAACCATTGAAACTAAATTAAATTCCAGAGAAACCGAGAGAAAAAGATTGGATAAGAAAGAATTGTAATTATCCTCAGGCAACCTTCAAGATTGTTGCGCTTCAAAGTGACAGTTCTATCTTGAATTTAAACTCCGAAATTCTAAAATAAAAATAATTTACATTTCGATACTTACCAAAACTAATTGACTGAAAAGTGAGGCAGTAACAAGTATGGTAGTTGTTTGGTGATATGTATAAAAAATACGACTATATTAGCTTATAAAATACGCTACACTGACGAGTTACAGCGAGATTATTATTTTCTTAGTAATCTTTTGAATAATGTTGAAAAGGGGTGGATGACGTCTAAAAGTGTTGAATTTAAGGTGTGTACGTGACAAATTATAACAACTAAAACATAAAAAAATTAAAAAAAAAAAGATGGAAGAAGTCTTACACACACAGAAATACACACAACTATAAATGTTGTAGGGCTATTAATTGATACCATAACATTCTCCCTAAACTAATACAAAACATTTTCCATCTTTTGAAAGAACAATCTCTATGAGGGTATGTTACAAATGCTCAGCTTGAGATTAGTCCTCTAAGAAATAAACAGTTAATTATTTGTGGGAAGATTCAAATAATTTTCAGCTAAAAAAATCGCAAACCATAAAGTTGAGCAAATTAATGCTTTGTTGCGTTCAGTTATAATGTATATTTCACTGCTAGACTGGACTGTTTAGGAACCAGGCGCCATCTGACAATATGGCTACACCCCTGCCTTGCGGGTATTGCGTTTTGGCGCCTGTATTCGATGCAATAAATATCGACGCAGCAATAATACTGTAATTATGTGTAAAGTAAGATATTAACAAAATAACAATTGGAATATTCAGAGTACCTATCATTATTCAAAACATAGGCCTATATTTTTATTCTTACCTCGAAATATTATGGAATACTGTAGTACTTAAATTTTTTTCGAAATCTGTTAACCAACACTACAGTATAACAGTAATTGACCATACTTGTGTATGGTACTCAAAGATTCGCTTGCAGTACTCAAAGACATAAATATCATCCTGCCAATAGGAGTAAACAATCAGAGACAAGGAAGAGTGGTTTCGGAAGCAGAAAGAAAACAACGGTCGGAAAGAATGAAGAAGTATTGGGCGGACAAGAAGATGAGACAGAATTTAAAAAGAATCTGACCATTTAATAGACTTAAGTGGTCCAATGCTGGCCATAAAATAATAATAATAATAATAATAACAGTTATTGGCATGCATGAAGTAAGCTATTGGTGATACATGCCACTTTTAAGTCTTTTGTTTTAGGTTGAAAATAAATCTTTTATGGTAAGATATTCGTAGAATATTGGTTTTAAGCTGCAGTCTATTTAAATGAATCTCCGTGTGTTTTACGAATGCACGAATCTTTTTGTGTTAATCAACGTGCCATTTTGGGAGCTCACGTAGATTTGTTCCTACGTGAGCAAATGTGTGTTTATGTGGTGTGTTCCACGTTCATATTTTTTCCAGCTAAGGCTTATATGCATAAGCCTAAAACGTGTTTATACTTTAAAAAGATAGTAACCCTCTTCTATATGTCTTTACTGTAAAGCGAATATACAGTGAAACCAATTGAAGTCAACTTTACTTCTTCCTTTCATTCAGTACTGAAATCTGAATATGCATATATTGAGTAAAATAAAACTTTTACATCTAAATCCAAATTCAACCCTGTATAAAATAAACCCCAAAAATGCGTTGCAGGGTTACCGTTGTATTTATAACTCGCGATTTTCCAGCCGGTCGGTAGCTTTTGTGTTAACTAGGTTATTTATCGCGACTGTCCTCCCCCCTCCCCCCCATCGCTCGCCCATTCTCTCAACGACCCTGCATAATGTAAAGTGTTGTTTTATTTCAATAGCAAACACTTCTCTGTTGACTATGTCATTGTCGAATATTTTCACACTCTATAAAACAATAAATATATTTCATTTTGACATTATATTAGAAGCTAATTGAGTTAATTTTTGCATTTTGTAATAAGTTACAAATAAGTAAAAAGTTGGTGAATAAAAGAGAAAAAAAATAAATTACTGCTCTGCTTTTGCTTAATTGAATTATGTAATTTTTTTACTAAAACTGGCTATAATAATAGATATTTAGATACTAGAGTATAAATTCCATCTATGGTCCAGCAGTAGAAAATTTGTATCTAAATACAACATGAACGAACAACTCACTAAAGGAGTTACTGTAAAATTCTATCCCTTTGATACTATAATACTTGACATGTTGCTTGCTATAGTTAACACTAAAGTGGCCTTCTAGGTACATCTATTGTCAAGTGCAGAGCTCTGAAGGAAAAATTAATCTCCCAAACTGTGCTTCCTGGCAATTGCAGCGTTAGTGTCACTGCAGGGGAGACGAGGATGGAGATATTGCAGTGTGGGTGTAATGTAGTGCGTCAGCGTTGCCATGGTAACGTTATGTGATGTCTGATGTCTGATCCCTAGCTGTACTCTATATAGATATAGACGCGTCGACGCAGTCTCCCCCCCTCTCTCTCATTCCCTCCCCCTGGTCCAGACAACAAGGGGTGGGATGACCTAGGATATTATTATTACGCATTAATACTAAACTACTGTAACATAAATTTAACGGCTGTGAAAGATATATGTATGTACTTAGCAACATGAATCGTCTGCATAGTGTCTGCATAGTCTGCATGTAGTGGCAAGATTTTAGTTTAATATATATATATATATTATTATTCCTTGAGGTCCATCTTTAAGTGAAAACATTCTAAAACCATGTTTTTGGCTAGGCACAGGATTGTTCAATGAGTTGGTAGGGATTGATAACAAACAAGATGTTTCAAGAGTTTCTCAAGTTGTGTTTTTCTTCATTTGTTTTGTTTGAAAATTCTACGACTAAACACAACCATTTTATCTCTAGCTAAAAATTATCCATCTGGAAACATTAAAAATACAGTACTATTACAATACTGGTATGAATGCTGAATATAATAGTAACCACAGAACGGCCACAACGCCCATTACTGAACACAACCACCACATTTCGCCTACACAATTCTAGAAGAGGATGTTAATTAAATTACTAAAAGCTGAGTGTTTTTTTGTAAAATGGGTAGGTAGATTTAGAAAGGTTGTGTAGGTTTTAAACATGCTCTATAGGTCAGTGGAAGCTCTTTCGTACATTGCCCATGAGGAGTTGTCAGTTTGTACAGGTTGAGGAAGACTAGATTGCAATTACTTTCCAGATTGGATTTGGTATTTTTTGGTTTACCATACTTAATACTTTTATACTTTTAATACTTTTTGATGAAATGGCGACCATACAAAGTATGTATTTTTTGCCAAGTATGAATGGAGGTGAGTGTAGGATGAGTGATGCGATCTTGTAGTCCCTGAAAAGAAAAGCCCTGCGGATCATGTTTGATATACCAAATAAAGTCAACTGCAAACCTTTCTTTATAAATAGTAATATAATGACAATTCCAAGTATTTATATTTTTAATAATTTAGTCTATGTTAAACAAAACATTACAAATTTTACTAAGTGTCACTCAATACATAACCACTCAACTAGACAATCAAACAACCTGTACATCCCACCAGTTAGACTTTCAAAATTCACAAAAAACCATAAATATTTACAATTACAACTTTTCAATAAACTTCCCATTCCATTTAGAGAAATTGATAACATAAACCTTTTCAAATCAACATTATCAAGATGGCTAATTAGCAAAGCCTTTTTTTCTATAGACGATTTTTTAAACACAAATAATTACTCTGACCTCTTAACACTATTGGCCACTAGGAGGCAGCCTACATGACCAAAAATCTTTTTACAAATTTCCTGAATATTTACAAATTGTTTAGTTTTGAAGCATTATTTACTTAAGTTTTTTATAAATTTGTGTTAGAGCATTCAATCTTAGAATTTTAAATTTAAATAGGCCTGTATGTACAGTTTATGCAACAAAATGTTCAATGATTCTTAAGGTGATATAGATTTAAGCATGATGTCATATTTGTGTCCTGATTTCTGACGTTGTCTATTGTAATTTTATGTTGCTGAATGACAATAAAGATTATTATTATTATTATTAGTCTTGTTAGTGACTAAGGCCGTCAAATCCTTTTCTAAGTTGAATGACGGTTACAACTTATACCTTAGAATTCAAAGACCTCTTTTCCATTATAGCCGACTGAAACGACCATATGACACACAGTAGCCTACTATCCAACCATACTAAGTAGAGGTCTGCATTATATTACTAACATGCCTGTTCCCTGTTCCAGAAGCATGGCTCCGGTGTTCCGGAGGGATGTGGGGGAGGAACCGAGGACGGAGGTTGAGGAGGTGTTCCTACCCTCCACTGAGCCTTCCCCCCATCACCACAAACTCCATAAGGTGTTAGAGCAGCACAAAGCAGTCATAACTGAGGCCCCTGAACTAGGTATGCACAACATGTAAATAGGTTTGCAGGGGTCTAATTGTTGGGCATGTGTAGCAATAATAACTCGATGCGTCAATCAATAAAGAAGTTATTTTTTTAATTCTTTCCATCACTGTTGACCAGGGGCACACTTGCAGTAACCACCTTGATGACTGCCCAAAGACATATTTAGGCTGTTTTGCCTTAAGATTACAAAAAGGAATTATACAGAAAATTTTCCTAAAGGCCTACTTGGCTTTATCCACAACATCTTGCTAGCAGAATTTTGCTCAGGAGTGGATGTTCTTAACATCTTAAAATCTGTCTGGTCTGTCTACAAAAAAAAGTGGCTAAGCTGCAGGTCAGAGGGGTAGGGGGTGATCTTGTAGAGCTATTTTTTACATATTTTTCCAGGTCCAAATACATCTCACTACAAGACCAGTTTATACACTCATATCCCATATCCTACAAGGGGCAGAGGACTTGTACATGCTAGCTTAATACAAACCTATATGGGATTATGATGCATTATGTTGTTTATAAAATGCGTTACAAGGCTTAAAGTGATTTTTTTCCCATCCCAGTTTCAAGAACTTGAATTATATTATATTTACATTTACCCACTCAAAACCTTTAACAAAAGTACAATAAAGCTAGCAAATATACAAACATGTAAATACAAATGGATCATCCTAAACAAAAAAAAGACCAGCTCTAATTATAGTCCAGTCAAGGAATGAGGTGTAGAGTGCGTGAGCAGGTAACTAAGCGATTCCTTCAGAAACTTGTTCAGGGGGCTTAGGGTGTTAACATACCAAAAGTCCTGACTCCTAGGTGGTGAGCCAGGGGGTGGAGGGGGGAAAAAGGGGGGGGAGAAAGGTACGCATTTTGGGTTTTTTGATTATATCTCGAAAACTATCAACTTTTTGTATACTATAGTAAATTATAAAATTGAAGAAGATTAAATTTTCTACAAGAAAAGTATATAATGTGTTTATTTTGGTTCAACAGATTACGAGTTATAACTTATTTAATTGATATCTTATTAAAATACTCCTTCCATAAGAAATACATGTAAATTAGTATGCGAAATGGGGCGAATCCTATCCGCCCAAAGGAAATATAAATGATATTCTGGAAATCTCGACAAAATTTCCAGTAATTTGACACTTTAATCATTAAAATTGATCCAAAATTAAGGCGAGGGCGAGGTAACAAAATGTTGAGTTTTGGTATTTTTTTATTGGAAATATAAAAAAAAAACCTTAAATCATCCAATTTTTAAACGCTCACCCTCGTTTTAATTTTTGACAAAATTTCATGATTTAAGTGTCAAATTACTGGAAATTTGGTCAAGATTTCCAGAATATCAGTTATATTTCCTTTGGGCGGATAGGATTCGCCCCATTTCGCATACTAATTTACATGTATTTCTTATGGAAGGAGTATTTTAATAAGATATAAATTAAATAAGTTATAACTCGTAATCTGTTGAACCAAAATAAACACATTATATACTTTTCTTGTAGAAAATTTAATCTTCTTCAATTTTATAATTTACTATAGTATACAAAAAGTTGATAGTTTTCGAGATATAATCAAAAAACCCAAAATGCGTACCTTTATCCCCCCCTCCACCCCCTGGCTCACCACCTAGGAGTCAGGACTTTTGGTATGTTAACACCCTAAGCCCCCTGAACAAGTTTCTGAAGGAATCGCTTAGTTACCTGCTCACGCACTCTACACCTACTTTTGGATCATTCATTGACTGGACTATTAGTATACAACTATTTTAGTATATAACTTTCAAACTTGTATACAAAATTGATACTAACAAAACTAGAAAGCCAATTAAAAGTTTTGTTTGGTGATCAGTAACTTATTAAAGAAAAATTAAAACTGAGTTTAGGCCAGAAATGTTATTTATTATGTTATAAATTTCTATCGTAACTGGAACAAGTAGGGCTTTTGATGGATAGCAGATACTTCACATTCATTTAAATGATGTTCTATATTTTCCACAAACAAAAGAAAATCCATACCATAATTATATCCCCTATTGTTTTACCAGCTACTTACCTAGTAAAACAATATTGTAGCTTTAATATTAAATAAATGAAATACAAATGAATTGAAATTTTCATACAGAAAATTTAGATTCAGATGAAAGTCTCTGATGAGAGACTTGATAAAATCCTCCCAGCAGTCTGCATACTGCCCACTGCTTCTTGGCTTACTTTACTTGTCCACTACACATTTGTCAGGATAATAAACTTGAAACTGTATCTTATGTAAGTATTGGGACAAAAGCTCAACCTATGGAAAGGTAAAAAGAATAAGTCAGTGTACTGTACATTAAGATTGTAGAGTCCTTAAACTATTTTTTGACATCAAAACAAATGATTAAATTAAAAATAATTGTGAGATCCCTTGGCCTATTGACTGGAGATTAAAGGGAAGAACAGGTTACCATAGTCAAAATGATCTCTTGGTTCACCAAGGACCTGGGATTTGATGGAGATGATGGTGCACAATATGGCCACTTGTAAACTGGCCCTCTGTTAAAAAAAGGTAGTGATGTTGTGTGTTCACATCAAGATGCTAGCACTAAAAATGTTTCAGTACAGATAATTCTTCTACAGTGTACATGTCTCATAAACAGGCATATAAGATCTATGTGAATGGGTTAATAATTATTCAAAGTTAAAAAGAAAACGTCAATTTATCAAAACAATAACCCAAGTTAAGTTAGCCAGTCAGTTTCCATAAGTAAAAAATAATCTATTCCGACTTATACCTAATTTGTAAAGGTTTTCGACAGTGAGTTTAGAATCTAATGAGATTAAAAGTAGAATCAAGAAGTGAGATAGCACTTGAGTATTTCCTAAACCAGTATGAATCAAACATGAGTGTCTGAGATAAAATGAAACCACTCTACTTACTCTTGGTGGTATCATCATTGTTTAGCTTTGCTATAAAACTAGAGTAAACCAAACAAAGATTTACACCAAACTCGAGTTAATTACAGTGTGTATATCTTGGTTACTTGTGTTGTTTCTTGTACACAGAATATTGATAATTGTAATTCAATATTGATATGCTGTCACAAACCTGCGAAACAAATTACTTGCGTAGGCTGATGAAAGAATCTAACACTATACAAATTGTCAGCGAGCCTACAAGGGTGACAGAAACCTCGGCAAAATTGATTGATCACATCATAGTTGACAAATCAGCCGAGATTGAAAGAGTTGGAGTCATAGACACCCCCAGCATAGTTGACCACAGAGGAATGAGGATGACTGATCATAAACTAATATATTGTTGTATATCTTGTAAGAAAGACAAAAGGGGGTCGAAGCTAATCACATTTAGAGATTTTTCTAAATTTAATGCAGATACTGCACTAAACATAATTGCTGATACTAACTGGAATTGTGTGTACAAGCTAGAGTCTCCTGATGAGATAGAGCAATTTATTACTGATCATATAAAGAAAGTGTTTGATGAGGTTGCTCCTATTGTTTGTAAGAAGGTAACACGGAAAAAAGCTCCCTGGATAAATGAAACAATTAAAGAATTGTCAATTGTTAAAAATAAACACCGTAACAAATATTGGAGGACCAGAGATTCTTCAGACTGGTATGAGTATAAAACCATAAGAAATAGTTTGAATTTCATGATCCAAGAGGCTAAGAAAATATTCTTTTCTAACAAGCTTGCCTCATGTGAAAACCCTGCAGAGTTCTGGAATTGTTTAAAAAATTGTGAGATTGTAAGTAGTAAGAGAAATAGTAGGCTCCCCCCAGATTTAGACATTAATAAGATAAATGAATATTTTGTCAATATGGGATCTTGTAATGATATAGACATTGAATTGCTAAATAAACTTCAACAATATAAAAAACATGGAGATAACGATAAGTTTGAATTTAAAATGATTACAGAAAATGATGTTAAAGAGGCAATGAACTCAATAAAATCAAAAGCTGTAGGTGTTGATAGTATATCGATACAAATGATAAGATCTGTTAGCCCATATGCAATTGGAGCAATAACACATTTGATAAACATGAGTCTGGCCTCAGGTGTTTTCCCTACAAGTTGGAAGATTGCTCATGTGAAACCATTGCCTAAGGTTGCTGCGCCAAAAACCGTCCAGCATTTAAGACCTATCTCCGTGTTACCTGCAATGTCAAAAATAATGGAAAAGATAGTAACTAAACAAATTGCTTCATTTCTAGATGACTTTGATATATTGCCTAAGCTACAGTCAGGGTTTAGAAAAAACCACAGTACTTGCACTGCACTGACTAATATGTTTGCGGATCTATTCGATGCCAAAGATAAAGGCTTATACAGCACATTAGCTATTCTAGATTATTCCCAAGCATTTGACTCTATTGATCATGAATTGTTATTGGCCAAAATGAAGTGCTATGGCTGTAGTGAAAAAGTTGTTTGTTGGTTTCGGTCCTATTTGGAGTCCCGACTGCAGGTTACCAAAATTGGGAGTGATACATCAGATCCGCTTTGCAAATTGCGTGGTGTTCCTCAAGGTAGTTGTTTAGGACCTGTGCTGTTCAATTTGTACACGTCTGACTTGTCCAGAAGTGTAGAATATTGTACGGCACACTTGTATGCTGATGACTGCCAACTACACTTGTCATACAAGCCAGACAAGACATCAGAAGCAATCCGGCTCATCAATGCTGATTTGCACAGCATTTTTCAATGGTCTGTCATGAATGGCCTTGGATTGAATGTTGACAAGTGTGTAGTCATGCATACTGGACCAAACATTATGATGCAGGAATTGAGTAAATCTGCTATAGAAGTCACCCTTGATGGCATGAGATTGTCTGTTTGCGACACTGTCAACACACTTGGTGTTGTACTTGACAAAGACCTCTCTTTTTCTGACCATGTCACATCTGCAGTTCAACGTGCAGTGGGTAGACTGAGAGGTCTTAGCAGATTTAAAACTCTACTGCCAGAATATGCCAAAATGCAACTCATGCGGTCCTTGGTCCTCCCAGCCTTTACATATTGCTTTCCTGCATATGGAAACAGCATCTCTAAGGAGGATATGGCACGAGTTCAAAGAATTCAAAATTCTGCGGTAAGGTTCATTTTTGGCCTTAACCGCTTTGACCACGTGTCCTCCTTCCGAGATGCTGCAAAGCTCATCCCAATGGATGAAATATGCAGGAGGCTGACCTGCTGCCTGGTCCACAAAGTGCTCACGCTGGGAGAGCCTCAGTACCTCAGCGAGAGGCTTAAGTACAGGGGGGAGATCTGCCTGCGTGGTACTCGTTCCGACCGCAGGCTTCACTTTCCTAAAGTGAGGCTTGAGGTTGGAAGAAAGTCATTTTCTTATTTTGGCCCGCAGTTGTATAATGGCCTCCCTCAGGACATAAAGAGCTCCAAATCGTATGGCTCATTCAGGGCCGCAATGCAGAAAAACAAATGTAAATTGTAAATGTTTTTTCTTTGTAGTTTTTTTGTATATTAAATTTCTGTATATATTAGGTTAGTTTAGTTTTAGTTTGACTTGAGTAAGTTTGAAAATCATGTATATGAAACTCGCTTGTAAATAAAGGCCTTTTTATTTATTTATTTATTATTTACACCTAGTCAGTTTTTGCGAGTCTTAGGTTTTTGGCGTAATTTATTAACACTTAAATTGTCTAAATCAAAATCAAAAGATCCTTTTTCTGTACTGTCCATTTACTGTTTTTGTTAATGCCACCTATTGAAAATGGTTATATTAGTAAGCCCTCAATAGGTTTTACTCGTGAGAATGCTAAATAAGCTAAGCCAAGGGAAAATTATGATTTTCTCAGGTCCACAACAGCCTGATCTAAAGTGCGTTCTTGGCTACCAAATAAAAATCCATAAATCTCACCTTTAGACTCCTAGTCACTCAAACCAAACTTCACGATAATTTGTCGTTTAATGTTCTCCAATGAAATTTGCTTTCAATTTTGCAACAGGATGAGAAGTCAACAAAAAAATTTTTATAAAAAGATTATAGTTTCCTGATTACAATCGCCTTTTATGAAAAAAATATTGATTGACCATGTAGTTACTTAAAACTGCTGTTTCAAATGTGTGCTTCATAAACATTTGCCATGATTCGTTTACATTTAAGTTATTATTCTGTAAACTACTGTATAATCTAAACTACTGTAGGCAATCCATAAGCCTATAATGTTAAAAATTAAAAAAAACAATCTGTACGGTAGCTAGTTTTAAATTGTATGGATATCATCAAATTGAAATTTGTTTGCTTAAAAAACCTTCACAATGTTTGTTGAAATAACCTTGGTAAGTTTTTTTATGTTCAGCGTATACATTATAATGTATATTGCAAGATGCTACAAAATTTGCACAATAAACTCCTTTCAATGAACTTTATAAACAATTACTCTTGCTTTCTATCTTACAGTTACATATAACATCTTTTATATGCAACCATCATTAAAAACCCCCAAAAAGAAATAGTACATCAATAATAAGAACACTCTATAACATTTATCAAAGGAGACATTGTAAAAAAAAAACTAGCTACATCCAAACCATAAAACCAATATAGCTTCATCTTTATCACATAGATAGAAGATAAATAATCTAGGTTGAATCTTGAACAATCCTGATGTTTGAATGTCTCAAAGCAATATCATGACAATGAGGGCATTGTCATCTCATTCCATCACCTTTATAGAACTTGGCTTGCTTTTACCAACTGTTCACAACTTGGTCAGTTCTCTATTAGATTTAGAATCCTTTCTGATTTCTGTTGTAGATGAGGATGTGTCAGGATCCACAGAGGAAGCTTCCACAGAGGCCACCACAGTCAAGGGGAAGGCTGAGGAGATTAAGGAGAAGGTGTTGGACGTGGCACACACAGTGGGCGACGAGGTGGGACTGCCAACCTGGGTCGTCGTCTCTATATTTATTGGTAAGCGGCAACAATCAGTTAGTGACTTGTAGAGTGATCAAGGAAGTTGAGAAAATTCAAAAGCTTTTTGATGGCTCGAAAGTGGATCCAGCTGTCCACGATTGGGCTAATAAATAGACCTAGATAGCCAGATGATCTTAGTCAGTACTAAACTGTCTTTTCATATATTGAATACTTATCCTCGTTAGACCTCGCTTTCACCTTAAAATCCACACCTTTGTGTGTTGGCAAAAATCTTATCTAATCTGATTGTATAGTTTATACGTTTCCCAGAATTAATTTTCAAAATTTACAGAATGGGTGGAAGCTTTGTAAGCTGGTTCTCTGACCAGGTATATTTTTCTTCTTTTTACCTTCATACTGAGTGTATAAAAAAATGTGTTTTATATGAATTTTATCTTTCTTTTGATAAAATGCAAAATAGTCACAATCATATCAGTGAATAATGGAGTTCAAAAGGTGAAAGTGTAGGTTCTTACCATCTGTCAAGAGAATCGAAGGGATATACTCTTATAACTTCCAGTTTCCTGTACATCGAACTAATTCACTGAATATTTTTTAATATATAAATATTCACAGCGATTCAAAGGAGATATTTGGGTGAAAAGGAGTTTTAGTGTCTAGTTCATGCACTTATCCTAATAACATTTGGAAATCCAATAAACAAGACTGACTGCATAAACAGTTTATTGCCAGTTTCTCTATTGGGTGACACAAATGCATATAAACGATGTTACTTACCTAATAGTAAAATGGTTATTTCATGGAAAAAAAGTAATATTGATAAAGTTTGGGTTGCTATTTTATGATTTCAAAGTTTGAACATTGTAATTGACAGATTAAGCTTGAGTTTATACTTGTCTCCAACATGGGGAAATAGGTTATTAACCAACATTGTAAAAGGTAGCTAAGGGAAGGAAGGGTTTGAATGTCTTGCTGATATTTCCGGTATTTACTAATGATAAAACTTAACATACTATGGTAAACAGAGTGTTGAGAACTACAATTTATTGCACATAGACCATTGCACCAATGAATGAGTGCATATTATTTTGAATTTTAAAATTGTATAAACCCCCTCCATTCCACCATAGACAAAAAGAATTAAATATAGACCATCAGCTGTGTTGCGGTTATCATAGGTTCTGGCGCACACCGCTTGGAGCACCACGGTAGTTACGGCGTACGCGCTACGTAAACTACAGCGGTGTGCGCCGGAACCTATGGTAACCATGGCAACCTTAGCACGCTGACAGTCTATATTTCATTCTTTTTGTCTATGATTCCACCAAATGGCCCTTTCCAGATTCTCACTTAAAAGCTGGGCACCCTTTATACGGTATGATAAAAATAACCATTTCAGGATGGTTACAATATATATTATTCTAATGAAAGACCTCCTTTCATCCAGTAAATTACCTTAACTTTTTTGCCGTCAAATTCTTCTGTATCTATCTGAAGAGCTTTTGTTTCTTAGCAAGTACTCAATCCAACTAAAAGTTTTAGTTTCCAAAAATTTGAAAGAAAATTCATCCCAATATAAATTGACCATTAATATAATATTTATATTTATATATATATATATTGATCCCAATATAAATTGACCATCAATATAAACCAGATTAATATAAATTGACCCAAAATAATGACCAAAAGATAATTCATTGGTTATAAACACAAAGTTTTAATCCAGTAAATGACCTTCTGTTCAAATAACTATTGGTGAGGATTTCATTCACAAAATGAGTAATTTGCACCTCAACAAGTGTACTATGAATTACATTTAATATATTGCAATGTTCATCAAAAGAACCATGACAAACAACCATCCTTGTTTTTGTTTGTATGAGACACTAGTGGTAAGCTTGAAGATAAACCGGTTGGAAAACTTGATTTTGTTTGTGTTAATAAAGGATGGTTGACACTTTCTTTTTGAATCAGTGACAGGATATGTTTAAATCAGGCTCCAAATTTACTTTCAAGACATATTTTTATTAGACTAGATTACAAGGCAGTAGAAAAAGTAATCCAAAAATAGATTTAGTTTTGTAGTTAAATATGATAATGTTTTTTTATTATGAAACATTCATTCAGAGGTAAACTCACCCTACTAAAAAATTCACCATTTTACTGTCTGAAAATTGAGTGGTGCTAAGAAATAGAATTTCAATTCAATTACAATATCTTAATAAATTTGTATGTAGAAAAAAAGGGTAGGCTTATGTGATATATATTTTTTAATAATGGGTTAATATGAGCCAAACTTGAAGTAAGGAATATCTGTATTCTGTAGTGTTTCTGCTATGTGACAAATTAAAAGAAATTCTCATCCCCAATTGTTGGACCCCCTAGTCAAATCTGAAAAACGGGTTCTCTCATGGCTAACTGCACACAAAATGTCTCAGGGCTCGATTTGGTTTCAGCTTGGAAATATTAGTCATTTTTGCTTATTGGTACTCACCTAATCCAAATCTGGAACTCCTGATTAAAAGATGTATAAAATACACCGTTAAAGCTAGCATGAAATAATAACCTCCAGTAGATATACAAGATTGCTTATAGTCTGTTGATTTGACACCAGAAAAATTAACTGTCGGAAATCTTAACGCTACTTCTCGTTGGAGGCAACAAATTGACCTGTCTAGAAGTAGGACAAACCTCTAGAGGCTAGAGTTTCTGATCAGGCAGTTGACAACATGTTGAATGAGCTACACGATTAAGATCACTATTGTGAATGTTATAAGTAAGAATATTTATAGTAAGATTGCTTTTGTTAGAAATTGAATATTTATGCCATATTTGGGACCCCTTCAAATGAGTTAGAGAACCGTAAAATGTATCATACATAAATATTCATAAACTTAAAAAATTTGAAACTCTCTTGCAAAATGTACTTTTTATCATAATTATTTATATTTATTAAATAATTTTAATATATACAGTACATATAAACCAATTATTATTATATTATTTTGTGTTTTGTTTGGTTTAATTTCCAAATTTTCATTTAATTTTTACTGATTGCTTTACCTACTTCTTACTTGTATTGCTACTTTTTTTAAGAACCTCGTATATACCACAGATTTGATGTAGTTTTAGAGATGGTGAATTGTAAGTCACTCATACCTGGTCACCAGGTTTGGTTCCAGAATCTCAAAATTTATAAATCAAGAACCTTTTTTCTGTAATATATTTTGGCATCGCTACATGATTGTGATGATTTTTTTCTTGTCACAGGAATAGCAGTGATTATTCTGCTGATCTGCGTTTGCTGCATCAGACGATGTTGTCGCAAGAGGAGGTCCAAGGATGGCAAGAAAGGCAAAGGCATCGTAGACCTCAAGTCAGTGCAACTATTGGGGTCTGCTTACAAGGAAAAGGTACGGGACCAATACCAGCTGCAGGAGATGTGATGCACTCGGAGTAGCCTAGAAGAGTTTAAACCTTTCAATCTGTAGAAAAGAGTTTCATATTTTCAATCCCTAGAAGAAAATGATTTTAGAGCAAATTTTTAGTGATTTACATATACAGGCTTGACCTGTAGCATGCTTTGAATTGGCTTTGTTGATTGACTCAACATTTTTAAATTCTAAAAACTTTAACTCAATAAGTGAATGCACATCTATAACATAGAATGATAATTTAACTTTTAATAGTTGTAGGACAATTCACTTGTAGAAAGTTGATCATCATTTTACTTTTATAATTCTTTTCCATTACCATATTTCATATCACAATTTTGCTTGCCAACGCCCATTACAGTTTTTAAAACCACAATATCGCTTATTGAATATCCATTAAATTTATTCAAATCACCACTTTGCTTGCTGTATATTCGTTACAGTTATTCATATCACAATATTTTTGCCGAATATTCATTAAACGTCATACCATTACCACAGTCGTGCTTGACTAATATTGTTTGGTTACATCTTGCCTTGAATTATTTTTCAGTATTAATGATTTGAAGTTTGCTTGAGTATCACATCAGGTTTTACTAGAATAGGTACCTAATCCTCAAAAGTAATTCTTTTAATATATATTCAAAAATTAAATTTTATATGTAATTTTTGTAAATCATTCATAAAATTGTACAGATTTGATGTCATACTACAGGGTTAGGCAAAAGTCTGGAACCCCCCTGTTAAGAACTACTTAACGTGTTGCAGTAGGAAAACCAACCTCGGCACATATTTACAACATAAGAAATTGCACTTTTTCATCAAAGTTACAACTTTTCCCCAGCCCCCAAAATGGGTTATCGCACCCCTAATCAAAATGGCAGTAATTTTTAAATATCACTTATTAACTTTTTAACAGGTTATAGCAGGAAAACTAAACTCAGCATACCTTTATAAGAAAGAGAACTCACCTTTTGGTCAGTATTAAAATATGAAATTTTTTAAGTTAACTGGAGGTGTCCAGACTTTATGTTGCTTGCTCATCTTACATAATTAAATTGGCTGTCATTTTGATTAGGGGTGTGATATTGACCTCTGGTTTGCGCCATTCAATTTATCTTGATAAACCCTTTAACATGAGGGGTCACAAGATAGGTGTTTACATTTGAAAATTTGGGGGTGCCCCCGAAATACCTTATTTTGGGGGCTGGGGCAAAGTTGTAACTTTGATGAAAAAGTGCAATTTCTTATGTTGTAAATATGTGCCGAGTTTGGTTTTCCTACTGCAACAAAAAGTTAACAGGGGGATTCCAGACTTTTGCCTAATCCTGTATACAATGTAATAAAATTTAATACAATTTATTCATAGTACAATGGTTGTGCACAATGTAAATACAATTCATGCAATATAAATAGCTACTGTTTGTTACACAAGCATTTACCGTATAAAAATGTAGCTTAACACTATCTCATACTTTTGAAACTACAGTACAGCATTCATTAGGTACCTAATATAAAATCAAAGAAAATGTGTACAGTAAATATGTAATTTCTTGTACCTCAGCCTTGAGAGTTCATATACAGTAAAATCCAGTCCTATTGCTAGCAATATAAATACTACATTTTAAATGGTAAATCTCTCATAGACAATCTCAATTAATAGAAGTTCTCACTTCTAAGCACTTTAATTTATTCATGGAATTATACATCTCGATTTGGGAAAATTTGAATACTAATTGGAAATAAGAATCAAAAGATTAGGGAATCACCAGATATGAGCATGTTAGTGTTGTTGCTTCATACATTGTTGTAATACCTTGTAGCCTTATCAGTTTCAATCGGCAGGTGCAGCCCGATATGGAAGAACTGACGGAGAACGCAGAGGACATAGCCGAGGAAGGGGATAGCAAACAGAGCGAAGTGAAGCTGGGAAAACTACAATACAAGGTGAGAGAAGAAAAAGTGATAAATCAGATAAAGTTGGCTCTGACAATGATAGATGCTGCGACTTCATATCAGTGGTTGGCTACAGGGGAAATAACTCCCGTCAACTGGTAGTATTACGATACTAGAACACTGGATAAAATATGTGATCGTATCTGGAATAATTTTTTAAATACAGAGATCAACATAATTATTCCTTTGAATATACAGTACCTTGAAGCTAAAAGTTTGTTTTGAATCGTTATTTTCTGTAAATGAAGAGAAATAAACATCACTGATTTCTTACAACATATTTTTAAATTTATGTTGAACTTTAAAATATGAGGATTTATTATTTTGCAAAAAATAATAGGAAAAATCCTGATCACATGAATTCATCTTCAACTTAAAAACAATTGAGCTTTATTACCTATTTATAAATGAATAGAAAAAACATACTCACCCCTTCAATGCTTTTTTACTTTCATAAAGTATTTAAGTACGGTAGTTATAATATTGTATGGCAACAAAATCTAAAAGTGACAACATAAAACTTATCCTAAAACATTAATATTGATATTTCTGGAGTGAGTAGCTATTAACTAGGAGTACGCTCCGAAGTCACGTATGAGAATGAACGAAGACCATATCATACATACAAACAATTTGCCAACAATAACCATATTCATATTAGCTGATTAAGCAGGATGGTTTATGGCAAAGCCAACCTTGGTCCAAGGTCATAAGGCAGGTTTGATCAAATCCACAAAGGGAACAGGTAAGTATTCCCAGTTTCTGCAATGTATAATCAAAGAATATTTCAATGTGTTACAAAACAGCAATTGTTCTAATATGCTGAGTAATAGTAATATAGGTTTCACAATCTATCACCAGGAGCTGTACCATTTTCAAACCTGCTGGAGCTGTAGCAAACCTGCAAACTAAGCGAATTTCCATTTACCTAGCTGGATTTTTACTAAAATATTCCCTTATAATTGTAAGATTTATTTCATAGTACCTGGGGACCGAGCTTTGCTCGGGGAAAATCATTAGTTTACTCTGAAAGCAGTCTTAGTATTGCAGATACATTAATCCATCTCAAACTCCACAATGCTCGCTCTTACTACTTCTTTCCCATAGCATTTTAGGATTTCAGATACATTATTGGAAATGCCACATAGTTCCCACACTCTGCACTGCTAGCCTTACTACTTCCTTTACCATTTCCTACGTCATGGGCCTGTTTCCTTCCCTTCTCATAGCATTTATGTATTACAGAATGATACATTAATCTAACTAATAACACAATGGTTCCCACACTCAGCGATGCTAAACTTTACTACTTTCTACACCACTTCCTACTACGTGGACCTGTTTTCATATTATTCCATAGCATTTTAGTATTTTAAAAACATTAATCTAATTGCCACAAACATTTCCCACATTCCGCACTGCTAGTATTTACTACTTCTTTCACCATTTCGTATGTCATGGACATGTTTCCATCCATTCTCATAGCCGATGGATATGAGTACCATTCTCATAGTGGATTTATGTATTGCAGATACATAAATCTAACTGTTACAGACGGTTTCCAGTTCCCACACTGCTCGCCATTACTACTTCCTTCAGCACTTAATACGTCGCGGACCTTTTTTCCTCCCATCCCATAGCATTTTAAGATTGCAGATACTTATTCTAATCGTCATAAATAGTTCCCACACTCCGGACTGCTCACCTTTACTACTTCCTATGTAGCGGACCTGTTTTACTCCCTTACCATAGTATTTTAGATTTGCAGATACCTTAATCTAATGGTCATAAACAGTCCCACACTCCGGACTACTCACCTTTACTACTTCCTTCACCACTTCCTACGTCACGGACCTTTTTTCCTTCCTTCTCATAGCATTTTTAGATTGCAGATACCTTATTCTAACCGTCATAAATAGTTCCCTCACTCCGGACTGCTCGCCTTTACTACTTCTTTCACCACTTCCTACGTCACAGAACTGTTCCCCTCCCTTCCCATGGCATTTTAGGATTGCAAATACCTTAATCTAAGGGGCATAAACAGATCCAAAACTCCAGACAGCTCGCCTTTTCTACTTCCTTCACCACTTCCTACGTCGCGGACCTGTTTCCTTCCCTTTCTATAGCATTTTGAGACTGCAGATAATTTAATCTAATCGTTATAATCAGTTCCCACACTCCGGATAGATTGCCTTGACTACTTCCTTCACCACTTCCTACGTCGCGGACCTGTTTTTCTCCCTTCCCATAGCATTTTAGGATTGCAGATACCTTAATCTAATCGTCATAAACATTTCCCACACTCCGGACTGATCACCCTTACTACTTCCTTCACCACTTCCTACCTCACAGACCTGTTCCCCTCCCTTCCCATAGCATTTTAGGATTGCAAATACCTTAATCTAATGGGCATAAACAGTACTAAATTTCCCATCAGGCCCACTAGGCCCAGGCCTAGGGCGCCAAATTTCAGGGGGCGCAAGACTTTAACCTCTTGAATGAATTCCACGTATGCCCCCGCGCGTCAGACCAGTAGTCCTGCTTCCAGCCCACTGACGCACGGCGTGTCCGAGTGTAGTTTGAATTTGCCGCGCTTAGTAAGCAAATCGTAGAAGAAGAAAAATTGCATTGTTTGGTACTGCCGCCGCGGACCGCTTTACTTCCCATTTTATAGCATTTTAAGACTGCAGATACTTTAATCTAATCGTCATAAACATTTCCCAAACTCCGGATAGCTCCCCTTGACTACTTCCCTCACCACTTCCTATGTCGCGGACCCTTTTTTCTCCCTTACCATATCATTTTAGGATTGCAGATAACTTAATCTAATCGTCATAAACAGATCCCACACTCCGGACAGCTCGCCTTTACTACTACCTTCACCAATTCCTACGTCGCGGACCTGTTTCCTTACCTTCCCATAGCATTTTAGGATTGCAGATACCTTAATCTAATTGTAATAACAGATCCCACACTCCGCACTGCTAGCCTTTACTACAATGTATCGAGTAATCTTCAGTATAATCTTTGCTCAATAGTAACAAGTGATGTTTTTCCTTTTGTACTGTATTTGTAATTTGCTAGTATACTGTAGGTATATGCCTTTATGAACACATGCTACAACTTACAAGTCTTTCGTTTACTTTTTTCTTGTTATTTAATTCAACTAACATGGTTACTTAACAACCCATAAGACTATTGTTAAAAAAATTTGACTTACAGTTTCATTTTTCTACGTAATTAGATTTTTGTTGGCAGTTCTAACTGCAGTAAACTCATTTTAGGTCAGAAATAAATTATTTACAACATTTCAAGAAAATCGTCAAAGCAATTTTTGAGATCTATCTGCAAGCAAGCAAGCATACATACATACACACAAGCAAACATTGCTCATATTAGAGTATAGGATTTAAATCACTTTATTATAATGAGTAATTAGCTTTGCTGATACAGAACATGAATCCAGATGTGTTTTTGTATTGAAATGTTCATAGCTTAGTATGAAATAAACAAAATTGCTAAATTTGATTCAAATACATCAATAAACAAGTAAACAACACTTTATTTATTCTTTGTAAGAATGAAATGGAAATTTTAATTTTTTTTTTTTATCTCCGTAACACAAAACCAATATCTCTGTAAACCTTTGAACAACATTTCTGTAAGTTAAACCGTTAGGCATAAAATAACGCTTCAATTTATTTTCTCTTGTAAGCTGTACAAAATGATCTGGTAAGAAATTGTGAAATTTTGTGTTTCAGGGTCAAAAATGGGAAAACCCAACTTTTACCCCATAAAACACCTTACCGTATAAACCCCCATTCCCATAGTCTGATCATGCTAGGTCACAAACTCGTTCAAATAAACATAGGTTTAGAGTTTGTACAAAATTTTCTTAAAATTGGATCATTTTTGCTTGAGTTATTGCACTAAGTGACATATATATATATATATATATATATATATATATATGCATTTGAACGGGTGTTGTTAGCCTCTGGGGACCTCAGAACGAAAAAGTAAATCGGTCCCAGGTCTAGGTCTTACCATGAGGCATACGGTAGTAGTTTATTCCCTATAGGGGAAATTCGCTAAAATTATAAATAATTATCATACTGCAACCCACTGGTAATTTTGTTATGTGAATGACTAAACAAAATGTTTAACAGGAGAGGGATACTTTTTAACTTAAATATTTTGGATTAATATTCTACATTATCATTAGATGACAATGCATGAATATGTAGGTTCTAAATATCAAGTATATTTTTTTACACTGCAACCTCACAACCAACCAGCCCATTGCAGAGTACTGCCAGATGGTTGACACTCTGGAGGATGAGATACTGAACATCGATGGTGGCGTCACTGTTTGCGAGAATTTCATTGCAAGGTGGAATGGGAACACGGGTGATGTTTTCACCGTTTGTTGCCCCCTGGGAATGGAGAGGCAGTTCCTGGCATCTCTCTGGCATTGAAAGCCTTAGCCTACCGTATGGGGGACTGGCGAGTCTCTGAAGACTACTCTGCAAGCAACCATCAGTCTATCGTCTTCCAGAAACACACTGAGCCACCTCAGTGCACCTGTCCTGAATTTGTCCGGCCACTTTTCAGGGTTACATAACAAATTAAACTGTTGGGGACATTGGAATTTCCTAATTTTGTGCCACTTGGACAATGCGTCCCCCTTTCTTCAACATTTGACCACTCGATGCTAATGATTTCCACCCATGCTGCCAGCCGAACCCAGTTTACTGCTGGACAACTAAGATTACGTAACTCAGGAGAATATGGATTTGACTCCAACGAGCAGCGCAGCATTCCAGAAACTGGCCTGAAGCTAATGCTAGATTGGCAGAGCACCAGGCCACGCTCCATCACAACCTACGGCAATGGAACGCCACCTCAATTGCCGTAACTGCTGTCATCGACATGTTGTTCTAAAGTACCCAGCGTGACCAGCATTGGAATTCCCTATATAGCCTATGGGA